AACTACTATTAAAATCTTAAATCATTCACTGTTAAAATCATTAAGATTTCGAACCAAACTTGTTGAAACTATAATTTTGTTATTCTAAATTACGAACTTAAATCCACTGGTAAAAATTAAAAAAAATTCGACATGTAGAATGGTACCATTCAACAGCCATTTGTCGAATTTTTGCCGATTGATGGTCGAGTAGCTGCTAATAACTGTCGAATAGTAAAATTCAACATAGCATTATTGAAATCAATACCTACACACCACTAAATTCATAAACTAAATCTATCGAAGCTACAAACTTAATATTAATATTATGAATTCATACAATATTGAACTCACAACCAATTTGATTTTGAAATTATAAACCCATTCATTGTTGAAATCTTAACATATAAACTGTTTAAATTACACATTATTAAATCATAGATCTAAACAACTATTGACATGATGCTATTGAAATCACAAACTTATTTATTATTAAAATTACGAGCTCACTTGCTATTTAAGTTATGAACAATTCACTGTTGAAATCACAAAACCACTTAATTTACTGATATATATATCGATACGTATGTATATCAATATATAAGGGTTTCATGCTTAAAGTTTAGCCAATCAAAATTCGTTCTTATTAAATCTTATCCTTTAAACCGTCCAGTGGGCAAATTTGCTCGTTAAAATTTTTAGACACATTGTTGTACAATTCTCCAAAATTTTATTAAGTCATAACTCACCATTTCTTAAAATAGAACAAAAGTTCTCACACGCTAGCTGTCATATAATTCTTATCTTGTGAAATATACTGATCGTAATATACTTGGTGTTCGATAAGTCTCTGAACAGGGACTTTTTTATATCTCCACTAGCATTAAATTTTATATATTATATAAAAAGATTATAACGATTACTAATTATTGTGTTTTTTTTTAAATATTATAGTAATTTATTTAGTGATTAAAAAAAAAGACACGTCAAGGGACTTATCAAACACTTAGTAGTCTTTACGGTCAGGTACCTGTATGTGCCAATCATGAGGGATCCTCACGATCGTCACGTGAAGTATCTTTATAATATGAAATAAAAATTTTCATGGAAAAAATTTGGGGTATTCTTGCCCAATTATTTTAGCGGGCGAACTGGACGGTTTGAGGGATAAAATTTAAATTACACAAAATGTGCACAAGTTAAAATTTTATATATTTAAAAAAAATATATGCACGAAGCGGATTGAGCATATTTGATTTTATACACTGATACAAAGTAGATCATTAATGTTATCGTGTAATACATGACACAAGAATGCAAAGCCCTGATTACACTTTGTTAGGAAATTGCTAATCGTCTGATCCTGATCAACAAAATTTTTAACTGGCAAAGATCATCATCACATTCCTTATACTTTTTTATTACAACTTTTGGATAACAGATTGATAATTTCAAATTTAACTATTTTAAATTACAGTATATATTGGTATTATTTGACTCGCTTCTAATTAATACTAAAATCTATTGAGATCATAATCGATTATATTAAAGTTAAGAATTTAATAAACGATCTTAAAAATATTTTTTACTTGTAAAAATTCGTATTATATCTATTTTAGACTGAAAATTTAATCAATTTTACCGACCCAAATTTCAAATTTCCTTATTTGGGTGCTTTGTCAAATTAACCAATAAAATTTGGGGATCTACATAGATTAACCAATCAAATTGTAAAAATTTTTACTAAGCAAAGGAAAACAAGAAACGGGTTCTATACCTCTCTTGGAGCACTAATAAAAAATGTCGGGAGAGAAAGTTTACTTACAATTCATGACCTCTGAACAACTCTAACACCGATTTTAAATGATTCGGAATTTGGGTCGGTAAATTGTCGTGTAACAGTATATTTTCACTGACCAATATTACCGACCCGTTTTTCAAATTCCCTTATTAGGGTGATCTACACATTGATTGGCCAATTAAATTGTAAAATTTTTACGAAGCAAAGAAAAACAAAAAACCCAGAAAATACAAGGAAAGGGTATCGAAACCTCTCTTGGAGAACTAATAAAAAATGTCGGGGGCTAAATGTTATTTATACTTTTTGCCCAATAACTAACCTCTGAGCAATCCTAACCCTAATTTTAATTGCTTTAGTTTAACATCTTTCCAAATAAGGAAATTTGAAAAACGGTTCAGTAATATTGTTCGTAATATTGTCATTTTCACTAAAATGAGCAACCAATCAAAATCAAACTCAAAACTCGGATTTTTATATTCGGATTTAAAAACACTGTCATGTTACATCACATGACATAATATACTGTATATTCGGATATATAAATCCGGATTGAAGTGTTAATTATAAACCAGAAGAACTAAATACGATAGTCATTACATTTTTAGATGATTATTGAGAATTACATAATCTGTACATGTCTGGAACTTACTATGATAAGTAACGAGCGCCAAAAAATAAAAGCAATGAATAACGCCAACATTTAAAAATGCGGCGTAATATATAATTTTATATTTTTTTAGAGCTTGATCCGTTATCTGTTGGATACTAAATTTATTAGTGAAATCTGTTGGAAATCCGTTAAATTTAATATGAAAACGAATAAAGGATCCAAGCACTAATATATTTCATATAGAATTTTTTAAATCCATTTTGTTTCTATTATGTAAAATTTCAGAATGTAGTTTTAACACAAATTTGCTTTTTACAATAATTTATTTGGAATAGTGATAATTTTCATTTATTAAACCAATTAACAAATTACAAATTCTTCCTAATAAAAGGTAAAATAAAACGAAAGGTTAAAAGGAAAAAAATTCATAAAGGAAGATTATTAAGTTGAAAAATCATGTTACAACGTCCTTGATTAGTGGCAATGCGCCGAATTTTTTTTATATGTGGCATATATAATTATTATAAAGCTATAATTAGTGATTTGACTCGGGTGGGTAGGTGAGTCAATCCGCAGGTCACCGAGACTTTCTAGTTGACCCGATTTCCGCTCGGGTGGCATGTGACCCAACAGTCGGGACAGGTTAAATCACTAGCAATAATATATAAAACTAACTAACTATTTTATTTCTTTAAACAACTTAATCCTATTTATTAATTTGCTTAAAGTAATTTAAAATAACCAATTTTTATATATTATGATTTATATAATAATTATATTTACCCACCTATATTAATGATCAACCAAAGATGGGTTTTTGATTTAAAATTTTTAATTTAATAATTTTCAATATTTGCATTTTAAACTATCGTGGCATAGTAACAACTATATAACAATAAAGTAATCAAATATAATTATTTCTTGACGATCTCCAAATACACATAATAATCTAAAGTTTAAAAATTAGGTACATAGATCGCGGTAATTAAAATCAAAAACAATGAGAAAATAAGATAAAATGCTTCAATCAAGTTATTTTCAAGTTGAAAACTTTCCCAAACAACCTTACAGTGTGAAAGGCTAGTCGGTTTATTGACTGGGTCAGCCTTTGTGTAGCCTGCGTAATGGGTTCAAATTATAGTTGGTGGTAAAATTAGGTTGGTAATTCGCCGTAATTTTTTTGACCCATAATGCCGTAAGCCAACTATAGTTCGAATGGATCAAAGGAGATGCATTAGATTTGTGAGTTATTAGTGTAGTTTAAAGGTTATTGGATATAGTGGCACAACAGGGTTTATAATTAGTTAGTATTTTAATAAAGAGACTTTTGATTAGTATAAGATGATTATTTTTGGTGAAGCGAAGCTTGAACTTTTCATTGCCCAGTATGGCCTTTACTACAATAACATTTTTAATTCATTATTGACTGATTCATCCTAATTGTCTTTATCCATTAGATATAACGCCGGAGTAAATATTCCTTCTAAATTTTGTTTATTTATTTAATATATATTTTTTTAATTGTTATATGTCAAATTACGATTCCAAATGACTTATGTCTAGAGATGGGAAAATCGAGGATTTTTCGAATCTACTGTGCAGCCTGCACGGGCCTGCATTACGGTTAATGCGGGCCAAAATTGTTAAATTCTGCGACATTACGGAAAATTCCGGGCTTCCGAAAAATTCCGCCTGCGCAGTGTCCCATCTCTACTTATGTCACGTCTGAACTAATATGAATTTATGACACATACATATGAGTGTTTAATCCATAATTTTCAAGAATGACAATCAATACATAACAGTAGATTAATCAGATTTCGGATTGCGAATACTTATTATATAATACAAGAAAGAAATTTACTATTTCCACTGCCACTTATGACTGGTTCTACTAATTATTCACATATCGGAGTATCTGTGTTATTAATCAATTTTATAGTTCTCCGATAGTGAAGTGGTGGGGGAAGTTAGGGCACCCCAAGAAAGCAATACAGTTGTGATTATTTATAATAAAATAGTAACATGAATAATGAAGAAAGCATTACAGTTGTGATTATTTATAAATAATAAAAATAGTAACATGAATAATGGTAATGATTGAATAACAATTATAATCTGATTTCGCCAAGATTGATTATCAACCATGAAGGATTAATGTAACGTAATGATGGTTAATGAATTTCCTTTTATAACCTAGATAATAATAATTGGGGAAACTTGTGCTTGAGGTTAATAATTTTTCTGGATTAAAAAAAAACCCCTGTGCACGTGCATGCAAAATGTATGTACATACATAGTATAGATTAGATAAAATAAGGTCTAAAAAGTTTTGATGAATTTATTTATTTGTGCGTATATATCAAATATTAAATGATTACGTTGTACATATATGTATGTACATAAGAATATATATGTATATGTAGAAGGTTCGGGTTTAAGCCCAATTTACGTACACAAATGTTGTGTTTAACAAATAATGCAGCTACCGCCATCGATCTGAATTATTTTGTTTAACAAATGATGTAGCTACGCTAAAGTTCTCGAATTCTTATATAAATGGCATGAATTTAACTTGCATGAATAAAACTTGTCTTCACTAAATATAAAATGATTTTTGAATCTAACTATCCTGATATAAAAATTCCTCAAACCGGAGTTTATCAATATATAACTAGTAATCCAGAACAAATTCCAGATGAAAAACCCATTTTCATAGATGGAATTACTGGAAAGAGTTGCACTTATGGTGAATTTAAACATGATTCAAAAAAGTTTGCTGCTGGATTACAAGATAAGTTGGGATTTCAAAATGGTGATGTTTTAGCGATAGTTTCACCTAATCAGGTACATACATATTTAATTAGTTTTCATTACTTAATTTTTCAATCATCTAATAACTTATGTTTATATATTTCTTTTGTTAAGTATGATTATCCCATTGTGCTCTTGGGAACAATTGCAGCCGGTATTGTACAAGTTTTAATATAAATTAAATAGCTTTTTTATAATTTTAATCAATTCTAATTCTTATTTATGCTTCTACAGGTGGCAAAGTAACAACTGCTAACCCAAAATATAAAGCAGCTGAATTATTGCATCAATTCAAGGATTCAGGTGCTTCAGTTTTGATCGTACATCCTGAATTTCTTGATTCTGCAATTGAAGCTTCAATCGATGCTGGAATTCCTTCCTTCAATATATTTTTATTTGGTGATAATGAAATAAAGGGATATAAACCTTATCGCTCTGTTTTAATTGGTGAGCGTGAAATTGAACCCGTTACTTACACCCCTGAAGAAGCAAGTTCAACGACTGCTTATTTGCCTTATAGTTCTGGAACAACTGGAAAGCAAAAAGGTGTCGAACTTACTCACACTAATATAAATGTTAATTTGGCTCAATTAATTGGCGCCGATTGTCATCTAGGCCCACAAAGCATAATGATGGGAATTTTAGTAAGTCATATTAAAAACATTCTTTTTAAATTGTTTTAAATATTCATTTATAGTAATTTTTCATTAATTTCTTTAAATATAGCCATTTTTTCATATTTATTCTTTGACTACTGTTCTTCATGGAACCTTTATTCATGTAAGTTTTTTTTATTTTATTTAAACTACTTAATTACTATACTGAAAATTTAATTCAAAGGTTATGTGTTTTAATGTTAAAGGGTGCTACTACAATCGTTCTTCCTTGCTTCGATGTGAAAACATTTTGTGAAACAATTCAAAAATACAAGATTAATCATATTTATGCCGTTCCACCAATTTTAATTAAACTTGTCGATAATCCAGTGGTTCAAGATTATGATTTATCAAGTGTAGAAATGATTATAAGTGCTGCTGCTCCACTAGGTGATAAATTGGAAAAAAAATTTTATGAAATGTTTAATATACCAATTTTGCAAGCTTATGGTATGTGTATTTTTTTTATTATTAGTTACCTTCTTAATAAGTGTTATTAAATTTTTTTCTCATTATAAATATGTTATAAACATGTTATTATAAATATATTATAAACATGTTATTATAAATATATTATAAACAAATATATTATAAACATATTATTATAAATATATTATTATAAATATATTATAAATTTATTATAAATATAATTATAAATTATAAACCCATATGTGACACAATAAAGGCCTTACGGAAACTTCTCCAATCTTACATTATCCTGGAACAAAGAATCCGAAGAATGCTGTTCCAGGTATTATGTCATTAAATGAAATTATTACTTTGTAACAAGGATTATTTCATGTTTTATTAAATCTACTCATTTTTTAATAGGCTCTATTGGAACTCTCATTCCAAATGTGAAAGCTAAAATAATTTCTGAAGATGGTCATGGTAACTAGTTTTATATATGATTATTACAAAACCTTTTAAAATTTAAATTTTCAAATCTATTTAATTTCCGTTCTCACAAAATGTCTATTTTATATTTTAGAATTAGGATATAATGAACCTGGTGAATTATGCGTTAAAGGTCCAAATATTATGAAAGTATGTATTAAAACTGTTATACTATGAAAATCTTTACTACTTGTATGTATTAAAAAGTTATATATATTTTTTAAATAGGGTTATCTTAATAATAAAGAAGCTACTGATGCTGTCTTTGACAAAGACGGATTTTTTATAACAGGTGATATGTCATATGTTGACGAACAAGGTATACTTTATAACTTAATAAAATTTAATAAATATATATATATATATATTTTTTTATGTGTAGATATTCATAATTTCTTATTTTCTTATAGGGAACTTTTTTATTGTTGATCGAAAAAAAGAGTTGATCAAATACAAAGTACGATTATATTAGAATAATTACTTTATATGTTATTATGCTATTAGGTTTGACTAACAACTGAAATTAAAATTTTATAGGGTTACCAAGTAGCTCCTGCTGAATTAGAATCAATCCTACTTACACATGAAGCTGTATCAGATGCTGCAGTAATTGGTGAATATTATGAGGTAGAAGCAACAGAACTTCCAGTAGCATATGTCACAATTAGAAATGAATATGAAAAATCTCAAGATTTGGCGAAAAATATTCAATATTATGTGGATGAAAAAGTTGCTCCACATAAAAAAATAAGAGGTGGTGTATTGTATCTTGATAAAATTCCAAAAAGTGATTCTGGTAAAATTTTAAGAAGAATATTAAGGGAAAGATTAAAGCAGGATAGAATGAATTTATTTATTTGATTATCTTTTTTTTTTTTTGTTAAATCTTATTATTCATATCATGTTCAATTTTTTTTTAATATTTTATTTATATAATATCTATTTCAAGGTTATCGTTCAATTAAATTATTATTTTGTAATAGTGAGTCCTGAACTCGGTCTTTATTAAACAATTATGTATTACATTATTTAAAATGAGTTACTTGAATTATTAAAAATAAATATTATCTATTGCTTGAATAATTTCGTAGCAAAGAAAATCCAATATGGATTTCAAATGATAAGCATCGTTTCACCTATTTTTAATTTATTTCAATTATATACAGTGAAACCTCCATAAGTGCACCCTCTAGAAATGCACACCAATTAAATTCGGGCCCAAATATATACGTGACCTCCATGAATGAACTTTATGAAGAACTTTTTCTTATTGTTCTCTAAGTGCATGTTGTTAAAATTCGGTCACAAGAGCGTGCACTTATGGAGGTTTTATTGTATAATACATTGTCTTAAGTATGAACATTATTACAAAAGTAAGGACGTAAAAGCATAAGCAACGGATAGATTATTGTTATGATAGCAGCCAGACCTCGATATAATTACTGGACCAAATTTGAGTGATCATAAAATGGTGTGACTGTTACAGTTGTTAGGCGAAACCTAGAGATTTCTCCAAAAAAAAATCAAAAAGACGAAATGGCGAAACTGGCGTAACCTGGCGAAACTGGCGAAACCTGGCGAAACTGACAAAACCTGGCGAAAAGCGAATATCGACCTCCGACCAACAGGAGGAAACGTCGATGTTACACAATTGATTTTACACACGGTGTGAAAACACATAAAAAAATTTTTTTACAATACTTGAACAATCTTGATCAGTCAGCTATTAGATGTTATGATTATAATCCAACACCATTTTTATTATAGTAAAAATGGTGTTGGATTATAATCATAACATCTAATAGCTGACTGATCAAGATTGTTCAAGTATTGTAAAAAAATTTTTTTATGTGTTTTCACACCGTGTGTAAAATCAATTGTGTAACATCAACGTTTCCTCCTGTTCCTCCGACCTTAAGGGTAGAGTGTAACACAATGATTTTTTTGTATGATCACACGGTAAAATTTTGCGTAACACAAACTAGTCAGGCGATCAAACTTTATTTGTTCTAGAACAAATATAGAATATATCGAATAATCTATGCATCACCGATTTACTTTTTTACCCAATAATACCAATTTTCGGCTTCTACCTTTACTCGCGCGTTCTCTGTAAGGCCAGTAATTATAAGCTTACAATACGTGTGGCCATTTGAGCACTGTAATTAGGGATGGAATCGGCTACGGCTATAGCCGGCTATAGCCGGCTATAGCTGTAGCCGATAATAGCCGAACCGAGCGGCTTAGCCGACCGGCTAGCCGATTCTAAATTTTTAATATCCTGGTTGATGAAAATAATAATCATTGCATAATTTAGTATGCAATTATATCAGAGGGTCTGCATCATATCGGTGGGTCTGCACCATCTGATATATGGAGGAATTTATCTTTCTTAATTCTGGTCAAATTTGTAGATCATTTGGCCAGATCTAGAACAAACCAATTTTAAATCTGGTAAAATGATCTGCAATATGACCCATATGGGCGGAAATTTCGACCAGGGTAAAATCGCCAGCCAAAAAAGGTTCGAATATCACGTGACAAATATATCGAGCACTAAAAAATTCATGTAACTTAACAAAAAAAATACAACCAACAAACTTACGATAAGTAATAGAATAACTCAATAAACGTAATATTTATTATAGCAAGAAAGTATTATAATTACGGTTTTTCTAAGTATTTGGAATATTCCATTGCCTATTAAAATGATTATAATCTCCCAATTTATGCAATGGCACAAAGTTTTATTAATGCTATCAAACTATTTGTTTTCCTCAATGATTTTTTGTTGTTGCGTCCTGGGTTCATATAAATAATCAGAATTATAATCTTCCAGAAGAGCGTTAAAAAAAATCTACAAGTTTTCTGGTTCAATTGCGTTTCTTGATTAGTTTTTATAATTTTATTTCAATTTTTTTGTATACTGTCAATAGAAAGTTGGTTACAGCAATTAACATATATTTTTAGAACATTGTGTTTTTGGAGTTTATGCTTTTAACAATTGCCTTACACTTTAAAGAATTGAAGAAAAAAAATCACTTATTAAATCAATTATGTTAACGTTAATATTTTAATAAATATTATTATCATGATCTAATCATGATGAATTGACAATACCAAACTTTTTTTGGTGGCGATTTTACCCCGGTCGGCTGGATGGTCGGGAATGCAGATAGAAGAAATGCGACGAATTGTCGCTACGAAATCGTTAACGTCGTGTAACATTGCTGAAAAGCGAGAACGAGGCGGTTACGATTTGTCATGGGTTAAGGCAGCTTTTGAAGGCGTTACCAGATAAGGACAGAGACTTTTAAAGAGTGTTGTTATTTTATCTGTTGGAGGGGTCTTTATTAATAAATTTATTATTGTGTGGAGGGTACACTTGTCTCTTCTGACTCTGCTTTTACAAGAGGAAAAATTCCACCTCTTTTATAACAAATTCTACTGTACGAAAGGTACGTACAAGACCGTAACCTTTAACTATTACATTCATTGAATTCCCACCTTGTTTCACCTTATTTGTACTAACTTTTTACCCTTTTCATACACAGCCTTTCGTCACTTCACATTTTTCATGGGCGAAAGAGCACAGAAGAAAATGTTTCAGTTCTACTTTTCCCGTGGTTAGAGATGGGAAAATCGAGGTTTTTTTGAAACTACTGCGCAGCCTGCACGGCCCGCACAGCCTCAGTCCCTAGAGACTTTTACTCATTAGGTTTCGCGTTCATATATATAAAGCATCTATTTTATATGTGTAAAGTTGGGTTCCCATCATTTTTAATTAGTGCTCCAAGGTTAGTTTAAACATCAGTTTTTGTTGTTTTGCGGGTTTTCACTTTTTCTCTGCATATCGGTGAATTAATAATTCTGGTCAAATTTGCAGATCATTTGGCCAGATCTAGATCAAAACAACTTTAAATGTGGTCAAATGATCTGCAAGCTTGACCAGAATTATGAACGATGGATTCTATTAATCAGGTGATGCAGATCCGTTTTTCTTTCGGGCCGATCTCCGATTGGTAATTCAAACCTGGATTATTATGAAAATCGCACTGCGCAGCCTCAAAAAATGCAGTGAAATACTTGCGCAGGCTAGCAGTGTCACATCTCTACCCGTGGTCAATACCCAACAATGTTATCACAATCGCACTCCTTTCACCACTGCCTCACCTTTACCCAAACAGGGTAACATTAAACTAAAGTCCATTCCCAGCCATTACGGTGCGAACAGGCAAGTATTGATCGACTTTCCTTATTGGGTGGGCAATGGTCTCCATGCTGAGGCTTGGCGTACGATCCTTCCTCGATCGCATGGCCTCGATCAGGTCCTGGCGTATATGTTTCAGATGAATCGTCATGCGACTACCGATTAGGTAATAAGGCCACTATGACGGATAAACAGGAGAAAACGTTGATGTTACACAATTGATTTTACACACGGCGTGAAACACATAAAAAAATTATTTTACAATACTTGAACAATCTTGATCAGTCCGCTAGTAGATGTTATGATTATAATCCAACACCATT